ACCCTTCTGTAAGGGGAGGGGATGTCCAGTGGCCTACCAGTGGGCTTTGGGTCTCCATTCCGCACCCCCACCCCACCCCCGCCTCATTGCTCATTGCTCTGATAACTGATCCTTTCGCCTTCTCGTGATCGCACAGGCTGGTGTACTTTGTCCATGTGGGCTTTGTTGCTTCTGAGCTACTTGGTTGCTTGTTTACCTTCAAGGCTTTAAAACCACAAATGCTGTATCTTTTGATAGCCAAGCACGCCACTATATTTTCATTGATAATCTTTATAGCTCTAGGTTTACCTTTAAATCTTTAATCCATCCTGAGTTCATTTTTGTATATGGATTGAAGTGGATCCTGTTTCATTTTTCTGCAAGTGGAAATTCCATTTTTCTATCACCATTTGTTGAGCAGACTCTGTCTTCTCCATTTAGTATGTTTCAACCCTTTGTCAAAAGTCCGTTGTCTGCAGGTGGACAGATTTATTTCTTTGTTCTCTTTCCTTTTCCATTGGTCTATGTTTCTCTGGTATCAGTACCAGTCTGTTTTGACTACCATTCCTTTAAGGTCAGGAAGTGAAAGGCTTCTAATTTTGTTTGTTTGTTTTAGTCATGTTTTATTTATCTTGGGCCTCTTCCCTTTCCAAATAGAGTTGGTGATTATTTTTTCATTTCTTTAAAGAATGATACTGGATCTAAATCAAGATTGCATTACATTTATAGTTGTTGGCTATTACATTTTGGTAAGTGGGATGGCTTTTGAAAAGATAAAGATTCTAGGAAATTTGAACCCAAGAAATGATGAACTGATAAAATAGTTCTTGGAGAATCGTAAATATTCAGGGGATTTAGGCATTGTGAGCGTCACCATAAAATTGTTCTTTGAAGAAAATGGCTATTTTACCAAGAAAGGGTTAAAAAACCTACAGGACATAGAAAGATCCCAAGGATTCAATCCTTTCTTCTCCAAAGAGCCACATATACTTAAAAACAAGAGTTGTGGCATTTTCTGGAAAAAGGACAATCATGCCACTGTGAAAATTATCAAGCAACAGAAATGTGAGGGTTGTGGAGGTGCTGTCTCTCAGTAGGGATGTGTTTCTGTCTTGGGAGGGTAGAGAGCTTGATGTCACTATGGGTTGTGAGTTGCAATGTTTTCTCCATGCATATCTGTCACTAAATCTGTATTATTCCTTACTCAAGAAATGACTCAATATCAGCCTGACAACTCTGATGAAGAGACCCAGAAAGCAGAAGATGAGGAAGAGAAAAAAGCAGGAGACAAGGAGAGAGAAAATAAAGAGCAGGAGCCTGAAACCGATCTGGACCCAGAAGAGGGAAGCCCCAGAAATGTCAGGTATGTGTGAAGGAGCCCTGGTATTCTAGCGCGTTATGAGCAGTTGGAATAACACTGACCACACGAAGGAGAAAGATAGGCTTTCAGCTCCATAAAGATTTACAGTCTTAGAGGCTGACAGGGCTACCTTCTACTCTGTCCTATAGAGTCACTGAGTCAGAATTGACTCAATGGCAGTGAATTTGTTTGTGTGTGTGTGCGCTTCTGGGTTTTTGTTTTTGGGGTTTTTTTTTTGGTTTATGGTAACTTTAAATCCAGATAGTCTTGAGTATCACCCAATCTGCTGCTATTATTGGCAAATGAGAACTTTAATTTTACTTGTAAATTCTCCCAGTAAATGAAATAAGAAAAACTTTGTGTAAGGGACATTTTAATTTTAGTTCAGCGTACTTGGAATGTTAATGAAGTACTCATGTACTTAATGATAAGACACGTAGTCTGTTCTGAGATAGGCTTCATGGCTACTCATGGTTCTTAAGATCCTTTGTCACACATGTATGAGATTCGTTAACTGGTGGTAAATTTTTCAGACTTAGTACTGGGGACCATTCTTATTCTCAACTCTTGAGGGGTCTTCATCACTTGGCCACATAAATTCAGTCTTGGAACCAATGTGGAGACAATGCCTTTTAGAAAGTGACTGATACATAGAAAAAAAAAGTGAAAATTTACAAGTAAGACCAAATTTAACTATTACTTTATTGAAAGAACTTTTCAATCTTTCCATATTTCATATAGTAGTCAAATGGAAAGTGATTTAGTCTATTTATCACTGAGTCGGTCATTAAATCTGAAGGGACATCTGCCTTATGAGGATATTTTGATGATCAACATTTCTCTTTCTCCATCTTTTGCATTTGCACAGCTGTCTGATTCATACGAATGGCCTCCTGCCCATCTAAATAGTTGTGGAGACCAAAGGTCCTGGAAGGTAAAAAAGAACGAAGCGTATAACTATCACAGATTTCTAAGTAGTCTAGATGTAACCCACAAAGGTCTCTTAACCAATAAACAATGAGTATTTACGGTGTTGGGCAATGATCAAATGCTCAAAGCCATCAGGTGCACAAGCAGCCCGATGCCAAGGGGTGCAGGTTACAAGAGGAAAAGGCGCTCTTTTAATTCTCGGTTGAGAAGGAGCGCGCAGATGCAGCAGACGTACCGGGGCTGCTTCCTTAGACCCAGAAAATCCTAGGTGCTCGTTAATGGTGTACAATTGTTTACTTTCATTTCTTCCTGCAGAGGGGAGAAATAGAAACTAAAGGATGAGAAAAGAAGCATGAAGTTCTTCTGCACTGTGTTAAAGCTTTCTTCATTTTGCTGTAGCCCAAAGGAATTTTATCAACGCTGATTTTATTCCAAGTTCATCACCCCAAAAGTGATATCAATGATATCCAACTTTTCTTATGTTTAAAAATTGTATTTGAAAAAAAACATTTGATACTGTTTAGTCAAGTTAAAAATAAAAACGTTTAAAATGAATAAACTGAAATATGAGGTGTTCATTTGGTTTTATAAACTTTAGACAAATAATCATGACTCCAATCTGTCTTTTAGCTGTGGCCCACTGTTGTGGGTTGAATTATGCCCCCCAAATACGTTGTAAAGACTAACCTCTGTGTCTGTCCTGGGAGCTCTTGTGGCACATTGGGCTGGTAACCTCAAGGTCAGCAGTTTAAACCCACCAGGTGTTCTAGGGCAAAAGTTGATGTTTCCTGCCCCCTTAAAGACTTACAGCCTCAGAAACTCAGTTCTTATGTGTCGGTCTGTGATCTGAAAAGTCAGCAGCACTAAACTCTCAGCCATTCCTCAGGGAGGAAGACTGGGTTTTTATTTCCATAAAGGGTTACAGTCTCAGAAATCCACAGGGGCAGTTCTACCCAGACCTGTAGGTTCACTGTGAGTGGACATCCACCCCATGGCAGTGCGTCTTGCGTTGAATGGTTATAATTCCACTTGGGAATAGATTACTTTGGGTACGTTAATGAAGCAGGATTAGTGGGGTGGGAATCTTTAGCCAATTTCTTTTGAGGTTTGAAAAGATTCATCAAGGAAGCAGAAGAGACAAATGGCATAAGATACCCAGGGCTGGCAGAGACCCACGGCACCAAGAAGCACAAGCTGAAGAGACAAGAATCTTCCTTCAGAGCTAACAGAACGTCCTCTCCAGTCAGCAGTCAATTGGACTTGTAGCTCCTACAGTTGGAGAGGGGAAATGTGTCTGTGAAAGCCGTCCACTGTGGAATTTCTATTTGAGCAGCACTAGATAGCCGGGACCCCCAGGTTACCTTCACCGAAAGGGTGCAGCCTGAGTAAATTAAAATGTCAAGATTAAAGCAGTCTTTGTAAAGAGAGTGGGTTAAGCTGTCCCTGAACTTGAAATGTAACCCCTTCCACTTGAGATGTGCTGTAAGTATAACAAAAAATATTAAGAATATCACTAGTAATTTTTATACTGATTACATGCTGAGATGATAAGCTATTAGGTAACATATAGTATAATGCCACCAGTTAAATGTGGCTACTAGAAATTTTCAAATCGTACATGCGGTTTGAGCTCTATGCCCATGATACAGTGCTGCCTATAGCATGGTTTGAAGGACATGTTAAATTCATAGGTGACCCAGCTTTCCTCTAAGACAGATGGTGCTGTTGAGGCTGGGCCAAGACTGACTCGGAGTAACTGGCTGCCATCGAGTCAGTTCATGGACCCTGGATTGGGTTTCTGAGACTGTGCAAACCTGACAGGAGCAGAGAGCCTCCTCTTCTCCGGTGGACAGCCGGTGGGTTTGGACTGCCGATCAGGAGGCCAGCAGTGCAGTGCTTCCGAACAGTCCCAGTAGGGCTCCTTGGCTCAAGTAGGGGTCCTCAAGGCATGGTCCTCAAAACAATCAGCATTGCCTGTGAACTGGTTAGACATGCACATTTCCAGACTCCATCCTGGGAGTGCGGTCCAGCAACTTGCGTTTTAACAAATACTTTTCTAAAAAAAACCAAACACTGCTACGACTGGAAGCACCCCTATAAAACAGAGTAGAACTGCCGCTGTGGGTCTCCCGGACTGCAAACCTTACAGGAGGAAGAAAGCCTCGCCAGACTCCCGTGGAGTGCCTGGTAGGCTCATAGGGCTCACTTTGAGGTTAGCAGCCCAACATGCAGGGCCCTCAAAAAGCCCGTTGACATTGCGGGTAAGTGACAGGCTGCTCACTGAAAAGCCAAGAGTTAGAACTCACTAGTCCCTCTGAGGGAGAAAGGTGTGGCAGTTTACTTCCATGAAGATCTCAACCTCGAAACCCCTATGGGGCAGCTCTTGTCTGTCCACTTAGAGGTCACGATGGGTCAGAACTGACTGCCTGGCATCAGGTTTCAGGGACTTCTGTTGCGTTAAAGTTTGAGAATCAGTTTAGAACAACAGGGCAATGAGCTGAGACTCACTTAAAGTAGGGCCAGCCCTCATTCCCTGGCTTGGGCCGGTTGAGTAGAAATAAGACTGTCAAGGCTGGACTGGGGCGCTAACTGGAACTCACAGTGGGCTGAGGCCCAGAGGGCAAATACTGCGTTATAATAGCCCAAAAACTCATAAAGGGAAACGCTAGTTCTCAGAGGATATAAACCTGATGACACCACGCACTGGTGTGGGAAGTCTAAGATACAAATGACCATCTACATGCAGTGAAAAACATGCCTATAAACAACACCTACCATGTATATATATGTGTGTGTGAACGACAAATGCCCCCTTTAGGTCAAAATTTAGCAACTTATCTTTTAAAGCCCCCTTTTGACCCATTTTAATTTTTGTTCTATTTTTAATTATTTTCTGTTGTCTTTTTTTGTTTGTTTGTTTGTTTTAACATTTTATTAGGGGCTCATACAACTGTTATCCCAATCCATACACACATCAATTGTGTAAAGCGCATTTGTACATCGTTTCTCAAAACATTTTCTCTCCATTTAAACCCCCGACATTAGGTCCTCATTTTTCCCCTCCCTCCCCGCTCCCCCCTCCCGCATGAGCCCTTGATAGTTTACAAATGGGTATTTTGTCATAGCTTGCCCTGTCCGACTTCTCCCTTCATCCACTTTTCGGTTGTCCGTCCCCCAGGGAGGAGGCCACACACAGTTCCATGCAATTGGTTCCCTCTTTCCTACCCACTCTCCCTCCACCCTCCCTGTTTTGCCACTCACACCACTGGTCCTATAGGGCCCATCCATCCTGGATTCTTTTTACCTGAGGTTTTTCTCTTTTATTTTGTTACTTGTTTATTCAATTTTTTGTTTTGATTTATGTTTTTCTCTATATGAAATCCAGGATAGATTGATCTATAGAGACAGCAACCGCATTAATTTCTTGGTGTTATGGCAGAGAATGTTGTGGCGTGAGTGGGGAACTAATAATAATGAATACATGGAAGAAAACAATCTAAAACCAATTGCAGTAATGATTGCACAACTCTTCTTAATATGTTTAATCTGTGAATTATATACCAAGACTGTTAAAAATTATTTAAGAGGATGGATCATGGAATCTTTTTGTTTTTATTTCAATCACTTAATTTTTTAATTGGGTTGTAGCTCATACATGATACAATTCATTAATTCAATCATATCAAGAAGGGCTGTAAAATGAACTTTGGACTATTTTCTACCTTCTATTTTACACATTGGTGGTGACTCCTAATTTCCCCCACCCTCCCTCTCCGTATCCCCAAATGATCAACAGTTCTTTTACCACCTTCCAGTTTTCTGTGAGATAGCCAGATTTGTGAGTAAGGTAGCCATGTTGGAGGATTGAAACATGAGACCAGGTCTCGCAGCAACCCAGGTCTCCTTTGTCAGTTCTTTCACATAAAGTGCAGCTGTGCTTGTCATGTGTGCAGTCCCTTTACACAATAGCTGCCCGCACTTTGAATCCCTTGCTGGTGCAGCGGCAGCTCCTGGCATTTTTCTTTTCTTTTCCCATTCACCCACCCACCCCTGTTCAGTGGTTTGCCAGCATGGAGAAGTGACTGGGGCTGTCTATGTCTCAGGGACATCCCACAGATGCCTACACAAACACCTTGAGGCCTTAGATGCTGGAAAATGTGGCAGTCAGAGGAGCGGAGTTCCAATTGGTGATAATCCCTAGTCAAGGCCCAGTTCTCTCCTATTATTTAAGTAGCTCTAGCCAGTTGGAGAGAGTTTAAGTGTCAGGGAAACAGAAGAGTTGTTGCAATCCACAACAGAGTTTTAGGAGGTCAGGAGAAGTGTTCTTAGTTTGTTTTGAGAAAGGAAACACAAAACTCTTCACCTCGCCAGAAGAAATGGAACCCAGCATTTCTGGATTTCTCAGAGGCTTACCCACCACAGGCCAGATTTCCCTCTGATCAGAAACCACTATAAAAGTCCATTTACACCCCAGGACCATATATAAGGAGCAGATAGTTCTGAGCTATACAGGAATCCACTGTTATAAGCATAATAGCTGAAAGAGTGCACTCTCTCTACGTAATACTCAGGATCCATAAGGGACTCTGATATATTTATTATACACCACACTTACCACAACCACAGTAATTTCTGGAACCTGTTTCCTCCAACTCAGCAACACACACCCTCCTTTAACTTACCAAGTAAAATCCCATCTCCCATAATCCTCTTCTCCAACTCATTAAAAATTACTATACCTTAAAAAAGCTTTATATGAATAATACCACCTATTTCCAGGGCACCTAAACCCTAATTATGCTTCTCACCCAACTAACACTCCCTCATCTTCTACTTAAAATACATTTTAGATCACCTACCTGATCCTCCTCTAACCTAAATAGCCAGCTCCTCCTCCCCCTCACATGCCAGATAACGCTCCATCATCTGCTCACCCAAAATGCAATGCAAGCAATAGCCAACACCTATGGGACACAGCAAAGACAGTTATCAGAGGTTGATTTATTACAATAAGTTCACACATGAAGAAAGAGGAAGGAAGTATGGTCGGCACCTTAATTCAGAACCTCCAGCAGCTAGAACAGAGATAACAGCATAATCCTTCTAATAGCAAAAGAAATGAAAGCAAAAAAATTCGAGCAGAAATAAATGAACTGGAAAGGTGAAGAGCAATGGAAAGAATCAGCTGAGCAAAAAAGGTGGCTATTTGAAAAGATCAACAAAATCAACAAACCACTGAAAACTAAACAAAGAAAAAGAAGGAACAGAAGTCAACATACAGAATTAGGGACGAAACAGGGGAAGTAAAAAAAGACCCCAATGAAATAAAAAGATTAATTATGCAGTACTAAGAAAGACTATATTCCAACATATACCTTGAAAATCCCCAAATTAATGCATATAGACATTAAGAACTTGAACAGATCCATAGCAAAAGAAGA